CAAGGAACAAATTTTCCTTGATAATATGAGTAGTCACGAAAGCGCTTGGAACTTCTCTATTCTTTCACAGTGGTTGTTTTGCATATTCTGAAATCACCTGTTTACTGTGATCTTATTGCATACTCTAGAATGAATAAAATATGTCATAATGTATGAGAGGAGTAAATGGTGTAAGTGTTGTTGTTGGGTTTAAGGGCCGCCACTGAGAGAAGCCATGTTGGTGTGTGATGGTGGTGGAGGCTTTGGCCACTACCACCATCGCACTTAAACAATGTATGTAATTTATAAATAAGAAATATTTACATTTAATTTATAAATAAGAAATATTTACATTTTAATTTATAAATAAGTAAGTTTATTCAGGTATACACAAATACAGTTACATACATAGATTATCATACATAGCAGCATATGTGTAAAGTACCCAGGATAACCCAAAAAAATCAAGAGTGACATTTCCATTGGTCCTTTTATATTTACACTTATGTTTACTTTTTTTACTTACACTTTTATATTTACACTTACCTTGGAGGAGATGTTAGTTTAATTAGTTAGTTTGATGAAGGAGATGTTGGCAGAGGTTTAGGGTGGTGGAAGATAGCAGGGCTGTGTATGTTCAGCAGTCCTGTACACATCCAACAACATTGGAGAGTTACTCTCATGTTGTTTTTCTATCGTTTACTCACTTAACTTACTTGCTACACTGTTAATTCTACACTTTATCGCTGGCTGAAGCTATAGCCTTTATTGATACCTGCTGCTTTAGTATCATATATATTGTAGAATCACTGAATCACTGCAGAAGGCACATTCTCCCCTCTCTCTTCCTATACTTTAGTACTTTGCTATGAATTTTTTCTTGAATTCTATTGTGTTTCTCACTTTCTTTACCAAAGGGCTGACACTAGGAGCTTTCTTTGGGCCCATGGTGGCTTATTTAGCAGTTGCAAGCACACAAAACAATGAATTATTATGAAATGTGTTGCATGAACCCGTGGGGTGACGGTCACATGCTGGTAAACAATGGCACACTGAATGTGAATAGTGGGGGAGATGGCTTTGTGTGCACGCTGATGGGCAGACGCGTACCAGAAGGTCGCCAAATCACGAGTCCAATCACGAACCATGTAGCTAAATTTTGCTGAAAGTCGGATTTCATGAAAGTAGTGGCCGCCAAACGGCGGGGGTCCACTGTATCACAAAAAAACTGAGGATTTACCCAATTTCAAGGAATAATTAGACATGGTGTGCAGCATCCCAAATATTGAATCAGAACTAGTACAAACCTATAAAACTCACTGGGGGGTGTAGAGGAGGCCTTACTTGTCCTCAGGAATATTGGCAAAAATCTCATATTTTCACTACTTTGGGCTGATTTCAAGCTACATCTCATCCTTGAACGAACTAAAATCATCTCTGTTTTAGCAGTATGTCCTTCATTCTGTCAAAAGATAAGAAATAACCAATAAAACCATGAAAAACATCCTGGAAAACACCCCAAAGTAGCTGTTTGAAACCAAACACTAGGTCAGGGATTTTGCTTTTCCCATCATGCACTGCATGAGGCTGGATTGTTTTTCATACTGTTGACACTTGCTGCACAGATTCATTCTCTCATATGTAAGACAAAATTTAATACTCACAACTCATCTGAGTGAACTCAAGACGTAGAGCTGTGTGATGGATCCTGGCAATAATAACAGTTCTGCATGACAGACAGTCAAAGGGTTAAGCCTGTTTTGAAAAAAATTAAGGTAATAAATATGCTTAAAAGTGGTGCAAGGGTATGGAGTCTGCATGTGTATTTTGTGTTAGATCAACAGTTTATTTATTTCAAGGCAGTGAGTGTAATGAGTAATCCAGATTGTGACCTACTGAAAAAAGAATGTCAAGGAGGTCACTACAGCTAAATAAGACAGAATAGCTTCTGAATGTGTGTTTAAGACAGAAAAGTTTTTGAATGTGTAGTTTGAGAAGAAAACAAAGAAATGTACCCCACTTAATGTCTTTATTTTCAAAGAGATAGCCCTGTTGTACTAATACAGTGTGTGAGTAGGCAGAAAGCTTGCAATTGAGTATTTGTTTACTTCTGGATGGTTTAGCAGTTTTCAAGTGTGCAGTTGGTCCAGTAGGGCCACAGTAACCCTCCACTAGCATTAAAATCAACATGCACCTTCAACCAGAATTTAAGGTAAGAATTTTATGTAACTTTTATAATTACCTGTACTGTCTTTGACTGTAAATCTCATTTCACCTGACTAGGCTTAATAGGACAATATCAGTTTTCTCCACACATTTCTAGGTCAATGAGCAACAATAACTACTATGTAAGATATCAAAACTGTTACTGTATTTTTGACAAATTAAGAAATTTAGAATTTTTTTTTGTGTGTATTATTGTAACCCTGTTTTGACCATTTGGTCTTCTCTGTACGTATTCCGATATTACACATAATGCCAGCTTCAGGAGCGTAACCCACTCGAGTGTGTGTACAGTGCAGGTTGTTACATAGAACAGTACCATTACCCTTTTGAATGAAGAATCTTTTTTCCTGAATATTATCATCTCATTATTTCTGTAGCTGGTACTCTATTGTATTAATATGTTATTTTTATTAATTTTATTTAATTGTTGAAATAGTATTCATTTTTCTGTCAAGGCTAGGAAGTTTATGCTGGTATTGATTAAACTCTAAAATTCAAATAAATTTTCTTAAGTGTCTTAATGACTCTAGCTCTAAAGTTGTGAAAAAGTGTCCAATTTGTACCTAGGGGCTGGATAAATAGTGTGTTGGAGTAGTTTCATATTATGATTTTGTGGTCTCCTCAGAACACCTTTGCAACTTACACTTGACCTTTATAGATTTAACTTTTTTTTTTGTGAATATAATGTAATAATGATTAATTTGTAACGTTTACAATTGTTTTATAGCTGGTATATTCAATAATGTTTACTCAGTGGTTTCTGTGCATTTATGTAAATTTATCCTTGAATATTCTCGACATATATGGAGTAAGTTCTGACAAAACACCATATAAACACTGCATGTGTGTTCTATATTGATATTAAGAGTTGAATATGTCTAGATGCAATATAGTATTACAGTCATCAGCTGGGAAACATGTATACTGTACATGTAGAATAATGATGAAATTAATTCATTTAAATTTACATGGTAAAATAAGTCTGCACTGTGATATAAATTCCCAGATTTGCATTAGGTACTGTAAAGGACTCTCTTGGTGACTTGAAAATGATCAAAGGCAAACTGAAACATTGCCTAGAGTTTCTTCTCCTAATGATGGGTTAGTTTTGAATCATTCTGGTTGTGGTATTGTCTAATTTTTCTTGGATGACTTTGAGGTTGAAGGTATAGCATCAAAATTAAGTGCTGGAAACTTATTCCATTTGTAAAGTATTGTACAACATTACCATTGTCATGTGCAAACTGTGCACTAGCATTGAACCCTGTCCTTATTTTCCGATGTGTAACTAGAATTGTTTCATTTATTTTGAATGGTGTTATGTGCAGAATACTTAATTTTATTAAAATATCTGATAAATTATGTTCATTTTTAATTTGTTGATAAACCTGCAGAATTAGTTACAATTTGTTACAAAAATATTGTATTGTGGAAAACTAATTAATTTATGGGTGTGAGAAAATACACATTGTTGCCTTTATAAGAGTTTGATAATTTATGTGCCCACACTACTGAGATAAGAATCTCTGCAGGCATTGTGTTTCAAGTATACTGCTCAATTGTCTAGTGAGAACATTGGTTCTCCTGGCTGGTATTACTGCATTGATTTGGTAGGGACTCCAATGTTTGTCAAATATGATCTTCCAAAATCTATTTAATAAAGCATCTTGAATTGTACAAGACTTTTAAATTTAATATTGATTTCAGCACAGTTTTGTAATGCAGTATTCTGCTGTAATAAGTTTGGTATTTACAGAAATGAAATGCTGTATTTTGTGGAGTTCAGTTTTTCCAACCACTTTCTCCTATAATAATTTATGAATGCCACTTTGGAGCAACCTTTAACCCCTAATAATTGTATATTTTAATAAAATGAAACCCAGGATTGACCCTATGCAATATAACCCCATCTGTCAATTGCAGCACCAAATTTTCTCTGTATAGAGTAATAACAAATTTGCTGTTAAATTCTTCACCAAATTATTTACAGTGTATGATTCAGTAAGTCACTACAGTTGCACAAAATACTCTGTGTACCAAGCTAAAACATAATTCTCTTGTCAACCAATCTTTGCTCTCTTTCCCTCAAGGGAGATGTCCAGATGCTAGCAAGGAGCCCTTGATCCAAGAAATTGGGTTTGTCCTTCTCTTCCTTGGTTCAAACCTGAAATACCTCCTCCATTCTGCAGATGCTGTATAACCCCTGTAGGTTTAACATTTCATTTAAAATAAAAATTTTGCCCTCCAAGGGGATGCTTAATGCTAGTAATATAATTACTGGAAATGCTAAATCTATGGTTATACAGTGCTGATGCTGGTAAGGTGTCATGGTCCAAGAAATTGGAGCTGCTCTTTCCTTCCTAGGATGAAACTGGTTTACCTCTCATTCCACAGACACTGTACAACTCCTATAGGTTTAGCACTTCCACGTGAATTTGATAATCCAGGGCATAGTATTGCACGGTTCATACAGATATTTGCACTTTGTAAATACGTAAAATGACATGAAGAGTTAAAAAGACATAAAACAAATATCCAAGAATGACAAGAACTGAAGCAGCAAAGGAGAATGAATTTGCAGTACTGTCCTTATTAAGGTACAGTTAAGGAAGAATTTTCTCAAAGGGATTAAGCAAGTTAAAATATTAAAGAGCAGGAAGAGCAAACAGTTAAAAAATACATTCATATTCAGTGTGATGCACAGTTATCATTATAATCAAAGAGCTAAACCCAGGTCATACAGCACTGCCAGTGATGTATGAAACAAGCAGGAGCTTCCAGCTCTCAATAAAAATAAGATGCATATTTTTTTATAAAGGTACTTTATTGAATCATGCTACTGCTAAATATATAAAAGTGTACAATTTTTAATATATGAAGTTCTTTTTGTATAACTTGTTAAGTAAACCTTGCATTTAAAGTTGTAGCTAACATGGTCGACCAGAAGAGTTTCTGTAGGAAAGCCATGCATCAATACCATGAACCACTCCCAGCACCAGTCCAAAAATCTGCAAGACAGTCATTATTGATGGTGTGTGTATATATAAATTTACACAAATTTACATAAATATAAATTTATACTGTACGTATATAAAATACTTATTAAAGGTGTATCAAGACATTTTGAAGAAAAACATGCTCCAAACATCTCAAATTTAAACCCTGAATATTTATAGCATTATAAGGGGGTGAGGTGCCTTAATGCTGGTAAAGGGCTCTTGATTTAAAGAATTTTGAGATACTCTCACTTTTCTTATCAAATTTGATTACCTTCTGATTACCCAGGCACTATATGACCCCTTATGGGTTTAGAGCTCCCCATTAATTTTGTCATGTTAACCCTTTGACTGTCGCAACCCCCAATCCTGAGGTGTCTCCTGGTGTCGCAAAATTTAAAAAAAAAAAAAATTATTTTTTTCTTATGAAATGATAGAGAATCTTTTCCCGATTATAATGACACCAAAAAAACAAAATTTGATCGAAAACTGACGGAATTATGCTCTCGCGAAGTTAGCGACCTTGGCACTGTTTACAAATGGGCGATTTCGCCCACTTTGAGCCCTATTTGGGCTAATTCCATTGTTCCAGTCGCCCAAACTCATATCTATTTTTTTAGAACATCATTTTTTCTTTTGATTGAGTACAAGAAACTGCCCATTTACCGATTTCAACTACTAATAATGTGGTCAAAAATTTGGGCAATTTGCCAATTTCACGAAAACTAAAAAATAGTCAATTTCAAAATAAGGTCCAGAATGAACAATGCAGACATTCCTGGCTCTAAAATAACTTTTTCTTGCTCTCGTCATTCTCCGGGCCCCTCTGATATTACTCTTGCTTTCTATTTTAAATTTTTTTTCAAACAAAATATAGAAGACTTACTATTAGGGCAGACTTACTGCAATACTGTAATAATTGTATAAATAACATCAACTCATTCATGACTGCATATTAGAATGGCTATTGGACATTTTGGACAATGGCATCATTTGTTTATTTTTGAACATTGGAAAAAATCAAACATTTCCCCTACTTTGAGCTCCATTTCTAGTTCTTTTTATAGTAAAACAATCAAAATCACCTCTATTTCTATAATATTTTTCCATTCTATCAAATGAGACCAAGAAAACGAGAATACAACCATAAATGCTATACGAAAATAGACCACAAAGTCGGCATTTTAATTAAAAAAATCGGTCGGAGTTTTTTTTTTTTTCTTTTTAAAGCACTGCCTGCCCCAGGATTTTTTTTTATATGGTGCACACTGATCACACAGACCCATTCTCTAACATGTGGGCCTACCAGCTTTCTCCTGCTTGATTTGAAGCCGCTAGAATTTATGAGTAATATATATACGTCAAACACGGTACCTCGTAAGACGTATATATACGGCCGCGACAGTCAAAGGGTTAAAGGACAGCCTGTAAGGATCATTCATATAATACCTTAAGAATGATAGGTAATGGGATTTTCTTTCAAAAGTAATTGGGCTTCCCCTCCCTTTCCCTGATAAAGTCCAAGCATCCCCTCATCTTTTTGCCTTTTTTTGGCCTCATTAGTGGGGCAATTTCCCCTTTTATAGAATTCTATTTGATAAAGGGAAAATAAGTCACAGTCAAGCCCAGTTCTAGCATTTCTTTCATGGGTAGCTCTGTGGAGGTTGTGTTGCTCCATGCAATCGAAGTTGATCTAACTTAGGGTGCGTTAGGTGGCGTTCTAACGTTACCTAACACAACTAACCAAGTTGGTCAGGTGGTCAACAGTGAAGGCTGGGGTAAAAAAAAAAAAAATTTGAATCCAGTCACTTGTAAATTACAAGTAACTCCTTCCTGTGGGCAGTGGCGATGCCCAAGCAACACAGCAAGCTATTTATTCACTGCCATGAGCTTCCCTCCTCACCTTACATAACAGGACACTGTGTGGCTGTATGAGAACTCAAACACCTCAACAATACCATAACTGCTAATGTTTTAGCTAACAAAAAATACTGTAGAACATGGAATGAATGCTCAGTCTAAAGATACAGAATCACTGAGCCTTCCTGCAAATGACCTTGCCTTAACTATATTGATTAACATGCTGTATTTCTGTCGGTTCCCTGTTTTAATTTGGAAGCACGAAATCCACTGGTTGAAGGAAAAGAAGGGTATTTCATCTGGTCAGGCTCTGGCCCATTTACATCACTGAGGACAAACACCACATATACGTCAGAGTTGACTGTCATCCTCTGTGCCCAGCAGTGATCCCTAATGATCAATCCAGTAGCTTGATCACTAGTGCACTCAGCTGACACACTGAGGTCCAGAGTTCGAATCTCCTCCAGTACGATTGGAAAACATTAGGGACGTTTCTCCATAAGACACCTGCTGTCCCTGTTCACCCATCAGTGTACAATGGGTACCTGGGTGTTAATTGACTTGTGTGGGTCGCATCCTGGGAGAAAACTGACCTAATGTGCCCGAAATGCTCAGCATAACAGCGGCTTTCTATATAGTAGTACGTCATTGATGTCAGCTAGGCCTATATACTTCGTACATGTTTTTTTTTTTCAACAAGTCGGCCATCTCGCACCTAAGCAGGGTGGCCCAAAAAGAAAGAAAAAATCCCCAAAACGAAAATACTTTCATCATTCAACACTTTCACCTCGCTCATACATAATCACTAACATTATTTTTTATATTGATATTGTAGTAAATAAAGATATAAATCTGTATTCCCATGTCTTCACCGTCAATCTCCTTCATTACCTCCCCACCCTGACAGTTCTCTTCAGCTGTTCTTTTGGCACCTGTGCCACAAAGGCACAAAGAAAGTTCTTCCATCTCAGGGGTCTTGCTTCCGTCCTAGGTGTCCAGTTGGTTGATTGCTAGCGCACTTAGCTCACACACTGAAGTCTGTGGTTCGATCCCTGGTACGAGTGAAAACATTACGACGTGTTTTCTTTAGACACCTATCAGTAAAATAGGTTCCTGGGTGGTAGCTGACTGGTGTGGGGTCACATCTTGGGGACAAAACTGACCTAATTTGTCCAAAATGCTCTGCATAACAAGGGGCTTTCTGTATAGTAGTATGTCATTGATGTCAGATAGGCCTGTATATATTTTACGTGTACTTGTAGAAATTACAGTGGACCCTCGCCTAATGCTATTAATCCGTTCCTGAGAGCTCAACATTAGGCGAAATTATCGTTAGGCGAATTAATTTTCCCCATAAGAAATAATGGAAATCAAATTAATCCGTTCCTGACTCCCCAAAGTATGAACAAAAAAAAATTTTTACCACATGAAATATTAATTTTAATACACACAAACTGAAAAAGACATGCACAGTTACATGACACTTACCTTTATTGAAGATCTGGTGATGATTGATGGGATGGGAGGAGGGGAGACTGGATGGTGTTAATGTTTAGAAGGGAAATCCCCTTCCATTAGGACTTGAGGTGGCAAGTCCTTTTCCGGGGTTACTTCCCTTCTTTTAATGCCACTAGGACCAGCTTGAGAGTCACTGGACCTCTGCCGCACAACATATCTGTCCATAGAGGCCTGTACCTCCCGTTCCTTTATGACATTCCTAAAGTGTTTCACAACATTGTCAGTGTAATAGTCACCAGCACGGCTTGCAATAGCTGTGTGAGGGTGATTTTCATCAAAAAAGGTTTGCACTTTAAGCCACTTTGCACACATTTCCTTAATCTTTGAAGTAGGCAACTTCCTCAATTTCTCTATCCCCTCCTCCGAAGCAGTTTCCTCAGGTGTGGCCTCTTCCTGTTGAAGATGATCTAGCAGCTCATCAGTGGTTAGTTCTTCATTGTCCTCCTCCACCAACTCTTCCACATCCTCCCCACTAACCTCCAACCCCAAGGACTTCCCCAATGCCACAATGGATTCCTCAACTGGCATAGGATTCCCAGGGTTAGCCTCAAACCCTTCAAAATCCCTTTTGTCTACACATTCTGGCCACAGTTTCTTCCAGCAGAGTTCAAGGTCCTCTTAGTCACTTCCTCCCAAGCTTTACCTATAATGTTTACACAATTGAGGATGCTAAAGTGATCTCTCCAAAACTCTCTTAGAGTCAATTGAGTTTCTGAGGTTACTACAAAGCACCTTTCAAACATAGCTTTTGTGTACAGTTTCTTGAAGTTGGAAATGACCTGCTGGTCCATGGGCTGCAAGAGAGGAGTGGTATTAGGAGGCAAAAATTGACCTTAAATGAAGCTCATTTCCGCAGAAGTCGCTCTGCCACGTCTGTAGGATGACCAGGAGCATTGTCTAATACCAGGAGGCACTTAAGGTCTAATTTCTCTTCAATTAGGTAATTTTTCACAGTGGGAGCAAATGCATGGTGTAACCAGTCATAGAAAAAGTCCCTAGTGACCCATGCCTTACTGTTTGCCCTCCACAGCACACACAAATTAGTCTTGAGGAAATTGTTTTGCCTGAACACTCTGGAGTTTCAGAGTGATACCCCAAAAAAGGTTTTCATTTTGCAATCACCACTAGCATTGGCACACATCAACAGAGTAAGCCTGTCTTTCATAGGCTTATGTCCTGGGAGTGCCTTTTCCTCCTGAGTAATGTAGGTCCTGCTTGGCATTTTCTTTCAAAACAGGCCTCTTTTGTCACAATTAAACACTTGTTCAGGTTTCAGTCCTTCACTGTCTATGTACTCCTTGAATTTCTGCACATATTTTTCAGCCACTTTGTGGTCCGAACTGGCAGCCTCACCATCCCTTATCACACTATGTATGCCACTACAACGATTCTTAAATCTCTCAAACCAATCTTTGCTGGCCTTAAATTTACTCACATCATCACTAGTTGCAGGCATTTTTCTAATTATATCGTCATGCAACTTCCTAGCCTTTTCACATATGATCGCTTGAGAGATGCTATCCTCTGCTATCTGTTTTTCGTTTATCCACACCAATAACAGTCTCTCAACATCTATCACTTGCGATCTCTGTTTCGAAAACAAAGTTGCACCTTTGGCAAGAACAGCTTCCTTG